CAAATGCAGGAAGGTTAATCGCATCCTCTCTTGTGAACAATGAAGAAAAGAAGCTGTTCACTGCCTCAGCTTTGTCCTGGTCAGAATATGCATAACTACCATCTTCAAACTTCAGGTCTGATAATCCTATTCACGTTTGTAATTTTGACTTTGCATAGCGGTAAAACGCCTTTGGGTTTGACCTAGCTTGCAACCAGCCTCTGGAATGCCTTTTCAGCCATTCTACAATCTGACTTTGCTTGGTTCCTGGCTCTTGCATACAACCTCTTGTCCTGCTCATCATTTGATCTAATCCACACCTTGAATTTCTCGTTTTTTTTCTTAACTTGGTCGACCGCCGCATGGTTCATGTGTAGGGGATCCCCTCTTATTCCTAGAGGCACTAGGTTTGGTCTTAGGTGTGTATTTATCGATCAAATGGTTCACTTTACTAGCTATGATATTCAGCATTGTGTCTGTGTTCTTATACCTTAGTGAGTCAGGCCAGTGGATACCCCTCATCTCCTCACTCATCCCGTCGTAAAATCCCATGTAATATTTGCACCTTGGCCTCGCTTTGTCATGAACTAGGTAACAGTTAAATCTGAATGACAACATTACATGGTGGCTGGTGCTAACTGGGGCTAGTTGTTCCAGTTTGGCCACCATACCCTCCTCGTTTATTGTGATGAGGTCCAGTGGCTTGGGTATTTGCTCCCCTCTTGAATGTGTCGGGTTTTTAAAAAGAGTAGCTGGGTTATTTTAGTCATTTGGCGTTAACTCGTTTTTCCAGTCAATGTCATCATAATTAAAGTCCTCCATGATAAGGAGGTGGCTAGGGTTGAGCATCGCTGCATTGTCTATTAAGGCTCTTAAGTTCCTTTGATTTAGTAAGCTACAGTTTGGGGCTCTGTAGATACACCCGACAATAAGTGAGACTCCTCCCTTTGATTTAATCGTACACCACTTGGATTCTTCAAAAACATCCTCTCCCTGTACCCTCGCTTGGCTGGCTCTAAGGTCTTGCCTAGCATAGATAACCACACCCCTGTTGCAAGTTTCTTGAGAAAGGTTCATAAATGAGTCATATCCAGCAATACTGAACTCACATTCCTATGGGTCAATTCTCCTGTTCTTGTACAACAGTTCTACAACTCCTACTATATCGGGTTGGTGTACCTTCAGTAGTTTTTCAAACTCCTCTCTCTTATCAAGGAACGTGTCAGTATTAGTGTACATGACATTCAAGCCGGAGTTTGTTCTTGGTACTAAGCATTTGCTTAGTACACTGTATTTTGCAGGGTGTGGTTAGAAATGTCACTGTTTACACGGCGCTTGCCTCCTCTTGGGTGGGAGGTAGAGCTGGTGCCCTCCTCCTGGGTGGGAGGTAGAGCTGGTGCGTCCTCCTGGATAGCAGGTAGAGCGGGTGCCGCTGCCCCCTGGCTCTGTGTTGGCGCTCTTGCTTCCACTACCCTCCCCGTGGATATAACCCAGGTACACCCGTCCTCGTTCCTCCTTGACTCCTCTGCTTCAAGGCCTGCAGGAGCTTGTTGTGCTGTTCCCTCTGCATTACCGTGCGATCTCGGTGAATGTATACATTCCGAAATGCCTCGCTCCTTGCTAAGTTTTTTGCATGCCGAATAACCTCCCATTTCTTCTCGAGAGGTCCTTTAATTCCTGCTGTCCACCTGTCAGGTTGGAAAAAGCCAGTTGAGTCGTTTTTTCTCCTGATACTGACTGCTGTGTGTCGGAGTTGCTTCCCCAATTCTCATGGTGTTGTCTGGGTATTTATTTTCTTTACTTATGTGGCTGGTTTGTATTCAACTCGACAGATAAGTTATTCTTGTTATTATTGTAGGTATAATATTTAGGATGTTTAATAGGAATTTAAATTAAGTTACCATTCTGTTTTGCCTCGTAATGTTCGTAATGAGAGTTTCCTTGTAAATACTATATTGATTTGTTTTAAGTGTCTTTTTCACTCTGGGTTTTCTCCTTCACAATAAACAACAATTGACATTTTGAAGCCTATCTAGAGCTCTTTTAATAATAAATGCATTAAAGTAATTTTATTACTGATCAGTATTCTCCCAACCTTATTTAGATCTGTAATAACATGTTATTGCTACTTGGTTTATGGGCTATATGACATTAAGTTAACTGATTTGTATGATTGTGATCAATACATCACCTATCATTCAGAAAGGACAGGGATACAAGTGGTGGTGTACATGTACTCCTGTATGTCAAGGAGCACCTGACAGCAACCATTAATCATGAGCTAAATGAAATAGGATCATCCGAATCAATTTGGTGTGATTTAATAGCTCAAAACAAAAGGAAGCTGGCAGTGTGTGTTTGCTATCGGGAAGACTCAACTCGGGGAAGGAAATAGTAGACCTTCAAAGAATCATCTAGGTAGCATCCAGAGCACATGCCCTCATCATGGGTGACTTTAATCAGGAGACATTAGACTGGGTGAATCTTACCACTCATGCCAAGGGAGAAGAATTTCTTTATCTCATTCAAGATTTATTCCTCACACAACACATGTCGGAACCCACGAGGGGAGACATCATTCTAGATTTGGTCTTGATGACTGAGGAGGCTATGGTGGACGAGGTTCACACTGGGAAACCTAACTCCGGCCAGCAACCACTACATACTAAGATGGAATACAATCTCTGAAAGTTGGGCAAGTGTTGAGGAGGAATACTATGACTTCAACCATGGAGGTATGGAGGTTATCAGCTCATGAAACAAACAACAGAAAATAACTGGGAAGATATAGTTAAAGAGGAGACAGACAAAGAAGAATCATTGCAAGACTTTATGGAAATCATTGAAATAACAGTTGAGAAATGTATACCCCCAAAAACAAGGAAGAAAGGGAATAAGACTGGTTGAATGACAGATCTAGGAAAGGTTGCTAAACTAAATGCTAGCTGTGGAGGAAATATTGGAGCATAAGAAATGATGCAAATTATGTAGTACTGTAAGCAAAAGACCCTTAAATGTGGCCAACTACAAAATTACCTGGTATATCAGCCAAAAAGCCCTTTGAGATGAAATTAGTTATAATATTTAGAAAGATCCCAAGTCTTTTTATGCATATAACAGGAGCACAATAAAAACCAAGGATACTGCTGGCTATTTAAAGAATGAAATTAAATTGGCCTTGGAGAATGACAGACAAATAGCAAATGCCCTAAAGGATGACTGTACATCAGTATTTACACGAGATGATGGATAACATGCCAGAACCATGGAGAATGGATTCCCCAGGGGTGGTAAATTAATTAAGAGAGCAATTACAGACAAATCATCAAAAGGAAAGTAGCCAGCTTGAAAGAATTCAAAGCCCTTGGAGTGGACGAAGCACAGACCAAAGTGATAAAGGAGGTGGCAAATGAGATTTGAACCCCACTAACGCCCGTATTATTAAACAACATCTTCCTTTGAAGAGGGTCGTCGTGTTTTAACTCGAGTTTTAAACTAAATGAGTCCTGAGGGACACTGCAGTACTGTACTTAACGGGGTGGTGTGGAGGTAAAATTAACTAATTCCAATCCAATTCATTTATAATATTGGAATTAGTTAATTTTACCGCCACACCACCCCGTTAAGTACTTTACTGCGGCGTTCCTCATGACTCATTTAGTTTAAAACTCGGGTTGAAACACGACGACCCTCTTCAAGGGAAGATGTTGTTTAATACTACGGGCGTAAGACTCTTATTCAGGAAATCATTAGATCAAGGAAAAGTGTCAACAACCTGGAAATGAGCCGTTACTGCAGTAGACAAGAAGGGTAGGAAAAGTGCAGCATAAAACTACAGGCAGATCAGTCTTACATCCCATACATATAAACTTTCTGAGAAAATACTGAGGGACACCATCATCCCACACCTGACTGAACACAGTCTAATCAACACATCACAACCAGGTCCGTTGTCAGGTTCATAGCCTAGGAGGGGCAGTTGACCGGCCTAGAGGTGCAAGTTTTTTTATTATCAGCTCTGCAATATATGACATTATTAATTCTAATTTCTGTAATTTGTTGTTGCTACTAGTTCACCAATATTATATTTTTGTAAGAAGACTGCGAGTTTTAACCCTCTCACTGAGTCAATGTTCAACGTTGCATGTAGCATCAGGAAAAATTAACAGATCATCAGGCTGCCTAATATACATACTGTACTGTATATATATATATATACAGGGTATTCCAGAAACACTTTTCATAAATCAAAGAGTGAATTTCTGAAACGTAAATAAAGATAATTTACTAGTGAATAAATTAGCAATTCCCAATAATTTGGAGTTGCAGCCCATAAACATTTAGTAGGATTGTAATAAAATCTACGGAATGTACTAAATGAAACATTGAAGGAAAGAATGAAACCTATTCGAGGTAAATGCCCAGTGTAAGGATCAGTTGCATCGGTGAGTGGTTTGGTGGTTCGAGTGGGGCCACACCAAGCTAAACCACTAACATATACAGTTTTACTTAAGAACCACTGAACTGTGCCTTGACATAACACCAGCCAGGTTCACCACTCATCCCACACTCAGCAGAAATATCATGTGTCTGGTGTCCTGAAGCATCAGCAATGATACGTAGATCATGGGAAACAAAAGGGTGGTTGGGATTATAGTGATGACTAGAATATTGTAATCCCCACCACTTATGTTTGTCATTATCACGAGGGTTTCATCATCACGAGGGTTTGAGAGCAGCAGCTCCCAAACACACAGTATAAAAGGCTGGGACAGAACAGGTGTACTTCAGTTGGAGTCCTCTCTTGCCACTGTAAACAGGTAGGTAGGCTGTGATCAGTCACAGGCTGGTGTACATATGAAGTAGAATTTCAAACCTTTATTTTCATCTTTCACCTTTAAGATTTCTTATCTTGTCCCGGAATTTATTATTATTTTTTTTGGGGATATGGAAATGTGAGTGTAAAAAACCCTGATTGTGACAAGATCTTAATAACACAAAAGCTCTTCTTACACTTACAGCAATCCAAGATGCATTCCTCTATGCTGGTATTTTTGCTGGTTGTGGCTGTTGCTGCTGCTGCCCCTGCTGCCCCAGGAGCTGCTGGGGGCATTCCTCCAGGTAAAACTTAGCACAGGATTTTGTTCCTTGGAGATGTTCCATTATGGGTTACCTTCTCTTCTATTCCTTAAGGAGGTCCTTCATTCCTATATTAACAAGCCTATTTCTCCTTACTAGTCTTTCCCCTTCAATGAATCACATTGTTTTAATCCTACATAAAATCTGTCTCTCAGTAGGTCCTCATCCTTTACTTCTATCTTCATTCAAATCGGGTTTTACATCTTACTTCGGCCTCTTCCTCTGGGTAAGTCCTTCTTTATCTCAGTTATAAGGTAACTTTCTTCAGGTAGGTATTCCTCTTCAAGTTTGTCTTCTTTTGTCCTGATGGACTGCTTTATAGATAGATCTGGTCGGTATCCTCTTTTATTCGTGTTTCTGACAGTGTTTCATCCTAACACAGCTGTGAATGCCTTCATCCCAGCAGCTGCAAAGGCATTCATACCTTCACCTGAGGACATTAAAGCCTTGGCTGCCCTACACACCACTGCTGCCCCTCCACCAGGTGCTCCAGCTCCTGCATCATTTAAATTCGGTGTGAATGATACAAGTCCATTCTAACGTGTGTAATATTGAAATAATCTTTTGTGCTAACGTGTGTGTTACAGAGCTGAGGCAATCTTAGAAATGATATTTTATATTGTACTTGCTCACAAGGGTACAAAACCATCTATATAACCATAAAGAGACAGTCACTAAAATGTTGAAGAGTGCTGGAGATTCTACATGTAAAGCAAAAAAAATTATTATATAAATATATTAAGTCACTAAAATGTCTGACATAGTCTTGCTCTTATTCCAGCCGCCTAAACTCCTCCATCACATTCTTCCGTACGCCCCAAGAAGTTCACATTCCATCCATCTATCTTTATCTTCGGTGATCCTGAACCGGTTTGCTTTATGTTCCCACCTATTACCTTCCTTTGTGATCTACAAGATAATGAATGTCTCCTGTGGTCTACAAGATGATGGATGTCTCCTGTGGTCTACAAGATGATGAATGTCTCCTGTGGTCTACAAGATGATGGATGTCTCCTGTGGTCTACAAGATGATGAATGTCTCCTGTGGTCTACAAGATGATGAATGTCTCCTGTGGTCTACAAGATGATGGATGTCTCCTGTGGTCTACAAGATGATGAATGTCTCCTGTGGTCTACAAGATGATGAATGTCTCCTGTGGTCTACAAGATGATGGATGTCACCTGTGGTCTACAAGATGGTGACTCATTAATGTTGTCTAAAAGAAGTCTAACATCATTCATCACTGTCCTCACTGCTTGTAAAAGAATGTGACGAACATTTAGCTCTCCTTATCACTGTCCCTAGAGGTCTCTTGCTAGTTTTCTGACATTTAAGTCAATGCCAACATGTGCATAATTAAAATTAATGTCACAAGTCTTTGAATGTTACTGAAAATACTTTTGTTATACAGTACTGAAGGTTTTATTGAAAATGTGTTCTTAAGCAGTATTTGTAACTTTTATGGTCAGTAAAGAAAATTAAGTTATTCCACTTTTATTAACAACTTATACAGTATACAGGTTGACAATCCATTGTCCGAAATCCTTGGGGCCAGAGGCATTTCGGAATTTTTCGGTTTTCAGAATTTTTTTTTTTTTAGCCTACCCGGGCACAAATTACTGACCCACATTGGGGCCTGGGTGGCGGAAATATAATAAAAATAATAATAATAATTCATTGGTCTAGGTCATGTGTGTCACTTTTGATCTTTTTTTCATTCTTGTATTTCTTTATTATTATTATTATTATTATTATTATTATTATTATTTTGGTGTATTTTTTAGTAAAATTTTTATTTACTATGAATAATTATTATAATTATTATTACTATTACATTTTTGCTCCCCAGGCCCCAATGTGGGTCAGTGATCTATGCCTGGGTGGGCTAATCCCTGTTTAAAAAAAAAAAAAAAAATGCCCACAAAATAGAAATTAAGGTTTTTAGAGCTTTTCGGTTTTTGGAATTTCGGATAAAGGGTTGTCAACCTGTACTATACTCTACAGCATCTGGTCAAGTGAGATAAAAAACTTATCTTGTAATGGTAGACAATCGAGGAACTTCCTTATCTCATTCATCAGGTCAATAAAATGAAGAGATTTCTTATTAAGTCATGACATAGAAGAACAATTCACAATTTACATCTGAAATAGAATATTATGTGCAAAACTGCAAACCTCAACATACAATGCAGGGCAGTACAGTTGAGTACATTTATCTCTAGACTACAGTTAATAAGTCATCTCTTAACCCATACAGTTTTCATCAATCAATGACATGGACTATGATATGAAAAATCTTTCAAACAAGTCTCAACACATCTTCAACCTTTAAATGCCAGCCATCATCAGTGGAAGATAGCTATTGGAGTATCATCAGAGGACATTTCATGTTCCTAGCATTCCATTATTGTGCATAAGAGGGTTGAGTAGGGAATCACTAGCCACTAGTTAAGGGTAAAACATTTCTTCCTTCCCCTCCCCCCCCCCTTTATTTGTGAGCCTTTCCACACAGCCAGAACCAAGACCAAACATGGAATCTCCTTTCATTCCATCTCATCCATTCACAGCAACAGCCCCATCAACCATATGTTATGCTCTCCGATCATTCATTTACTCTTCATCTTTCTGGGTGTCCATCTCTTTTATCCTCTTCACCAACGATCAGCTCATTAGCTTCACTTATAAACTTGTTACAAACACCAAAAGAAATAATTTTATCATTTTAATGTTACTATGTCATGATCGTGATAACGGCTAACCTGAAAACCTTAAGGATTCATATTCCGCTCAAACGTCCACAAAACCTTCCGAGTCCCACAGTGGAAACGTCCCCCGTTTTCTCTGTTTCCCCGTCTTTGTTTGTAGGGAACTTTGAACATAATCCACGGATTTCGTAGCAGACGCTGTATGTTGGGACCTGTTGCCATCCAACCCTTTGTAATCAATTTAATTTTGCTTTTGATAGCTGAGTCAGAGCATTGTTAGTGAAGATAATAGTAGGGAATGAAACTGAGTTTATAGTCTCAGTTTCAACGTCAGAGTGTACAGTAAATTAATTCATCGGAATAGAAGTAGGTGGACTCCCTGGCCTATTTTGGGTGAGGGCACCGCGGGCATTTCTACTGTTAGTGAGTGCCCGTCCCTTCACCCATACAGGTATGCCATTCCACTCTGTGTTGTAATTCACCCTTCTTTAAGTGATTTGACCCAATTAATAGTTGATTGTGCAAGTGTTACAGTAACGTAGTTGATATGCTCTGAGTGAAGTCATATTTATGTCTTTAACGTCCCCTGAAACGTGATGTTGTTGTCACAGTTAGTGAGTGCCCGTCCCTTCATCCATACAGGTCCCTAACGCAGCCTAGGCCGTGTCTGTGGCGTGGATGTTGTATCCACTATGTCTGGGGAGATGTCCGAGGTCCAGTAGGATCAGTTACCTTCGTGAGACCCGGCCGTCAGACACTTCAGACTACCTATAGCCCCCATAGCTGGCTCGTCTGGCCCTAACGCTCGGCCTGCGAGGTGACCCCGGATCACCAAGCCACACACCACTACCAGCCCCCATCATTGGTGGATGAGTGTCTAACTCAGTAGGGCTATTTGTGTGGTGGAATTAATCCACTGGGATCTTCAGAGTTCGTCGGAAAGTACTCCATGGTGGCTGGACCCCATGGCTGTTGCTTGAGTATCACTCCTGACGACTGAAGGTGGTAGTGGCAGTTGTCCCTGGTCTTTATGGTGCTAAGTGACTATAAGAGTTGTGTGTTATTGAGTATGTCCACCCAGTAGCGTTGGAAGTGTTATTGAGTATGTCCACCCAGTAGGGTTGGAAGTGTTATTGAGTATGTCCACCCAGTAGTGGTGTGAGTATGTTGAGCCTGAGGGCCTAGTACTAGATTTCGTCTGTTGGTACAAATAAATTCTTTCTCCTAATTTCATATTAATGTTTAAATAAATTTTGTATTTGTATATTGTGTCTATTATTTACCTACAGTATCTACCGTTATTTCTTCCCTATTGCTTGATACTATCATTACATCTACCCATGAGCCTCCTCTCGTCACGCTACCAATGGTAATAAGTATGAGAGTAAAAGGAATTGTTACTAGCACACGGAGGCCCTCATAAATGGTGGCAGTAGTGGCCCTCATAACTATCATAATATTTTCAATGTTATAGTCACCAGACACAAGCCATATACCACTGGTTATTCAAATAAAGTCCAACCAGAATTGTTACCTAAAAGAGCATATACTTATCAAATTTCATTAAAATATTAATAAAAGAAGATGACCAAACAAACACGATTTGCCTAAAAACAGACAACCCAACACATTCTATCATGCAGTAGATTTAAACTGGGAGAAAAATACTGCTCCTTATGTGTAAATGCATTACAGTCTCTGTCTTTTTAATTTACCTTTATTTTTTCTCATTCACTCACTTGATCATATTCTCAACATCTCTAAAATATTCCTGAATAACAAGCCTGTAATTTTCTTCATAACTACTTTGTAAATCATCATTTTACAATTCTCATGATCATTGTTTTACACCCATATTTCACTCTTGTGATGGTTAGCATGATTACTTGATGGCAGCTCTCCATGCTGCAGGTGTCTTTTGCAACCTCTCTTTCAAACTCTTATATTGAGGTCATTTCTTACAACCTCTCCCCATGACATTCATGGCCTACCCCAGGCTCTCTTCCCCTCCACAGTTAGGTTGATGCACCTCTTGACCCAATTTATTTTCTCCATTCTCTCCATGTGCCCAAACTATCTTAGCATACGTTTACTTGGAAAGGTTGTTTGTACTAAATGAATGTACAAATATCCACTGCCTCTGTACCATGCGAGTATGAATAATTATATAGGTTTATAGCAACTAAATACTGTACTGCTATTACTTATACAGTACTGTACAGTATATGCCAGTATATGCAAATGTATAGTTTACAGAAACTAAATTTTCTTGTACGAGAAAATAATTAATTTACAGAAACCAACCATTACAGTACCACTAATTTCGATAAATAGAAATAGATTCACCATACCTTTAGTATCTAAAGAGGTTCTGTAGAGATCAAACAACTTGGTGGCTTCCTGTAAAGGGCAAAGGCCATTTCTGTATTCATAACACATACAGTACCCATGAGGGAATGTTCCTGAAATTCCTTTAACCCAATACTTGAATGATCTTGCTCTTCTCATCATTGGTAGTGTATCTACAACAGGCCAATCAGTGTCAAAGAAAAGTAGAACTAAATAAAAAAAGAAGTTTTATTTATTCTTAATTCTACTGCCATTACCACTCATACTTATTATACTTCAGTCTATACTGTATTTTCCTTACTCTTATCTCACCTATTAGTCAATATATTTTGGTTGTTTACAAAATATAACTGTTTAAAAGAATTTTGAACACAGTTAAAAGTTTAAAAATAGGTCCAGTGGGTAATGTACAGTACATTAAAATGACAGCCAACAAAATTATGGCCAAGACGAACTAGCACCACACATTCAACCTGAGCAAATTGTAACAAGATTTTACTGTAAAAAATTTTGGTTTAAACAATCAAGAGTTATATAAAGTGCTCATATTTGCTGACTTAAACTGTTACTTCCATTCACATTCCATTAAAACAGAGAAAAGACATTGATAAAATATAATCACTGCACTGGTTACCTGTTTAGATATGAGCTCTTAAACATTATCTTCCAGACCAATATCCACACAGTATCATCACTTGACTGGTCAAACTTACAGTGATGTGAAAATAAACACAGTATGCAACATGTTAAAGCTGTACATGCATACTATAAACACGTTCTCAAATTCATCACAATTTCACATCCAAACTAAGCACATCAACAGACTGATACATTGGCTACTTGTAGTACTGTACTATGATACAAACATACACAGTGAACCTCTTGAACAAACACTATTATAATATACAGTACTATATCCACACTTCCTTAACCCTGATGCCATAGTTTGTTTTATATTTACTGAAGATGCTTAAAGTATTTTAACTTATATAAATACATTTATAGTAAACATGTCAATTTAACAGATAAGATAAAAGCACCTTCCTATAAAGATAATTTATGGAATGTCTATTATTCAATACTGTACAGTACTAGACTTTGGTATGTTTCTGACTTTCAAACCTAAATACGTATTCTTAGCAGTTATCAATCCATCTACTCAACAGTCTGCACCCTCTGGCGGACAACACAATCTTCGTCATCCTTGTAAATATTTGATGCTCGTCTTTTTCCAGCTTGGTCTTCTGCAAAGAAGAAATTACTTCACATATCAACAAGAAATAAAAAAAAATATACACAAAGGTACTTGGAAGAATTCACATCAAAGTCAATAGTCTCTACTTTTTCACTTCAAATTAAAACTGAACAAAAATTTCCACCTTTCAACTGGAATTTAGTAAATAAAAAAAAATAATAATTACAGATTGACACA